AAAGCTGATGTCTTTCTTATCTTTCTTCATTTTAGACAATGGAAAACAGTTTTTTGCATGAGAGCATCTGCCAGCTGCAGAGAGAATGGGATTGGTAAGTGTGCTCAGCTTTCAGATTTTAGCCTATGCTTTTCTTATGAGTCAGACTGCTGCCACACTGCAGAATTAATATACTTTGACAACACTTTAACTGTCATGGCTCCATCCTATGGAATCTTAGGATTTGTAGTTTGCTGTGGCACTTGGGTGCAGCTGGGGTTGCGAACCTGGAAAGCCTCCTGGATGGTCAAAGAGGTCCACTACCAGTTTAGGGTCATCCCAGGCCCTGAGGTTCCTGGAACGAATCCTGAGACTGAGGGCTGAACCTTGGTGATGCCATTAAGTGTTATGCATTTAGTACCAAGTATAGTTGATCACAGCATGTCATTCAAGCACACACATATGCACACACACACAATGTATTTCCTTGTTTCGAAATTTTAGCTAAAGGGTCTGTTTTCCAGATTGAGGCGAAATGAGTGCATTATTCTTTCTCACCTACTTAGGGACACAAGACTAAAAACCTTTAATCCACCCCACTTGACAGAGGTAGATGCAGAGCAAAGCGGAGGGTGAGCAAATCTCCTTCTTTTAAAGTACTAAAAGAATTTAATTTTAAAAGACTAGTTAAGCTTAATTTAACAGAGTTGAAAACAGTTTAAAAGGCTAAAACAGTTTAAAACCATGTGCATGTCCTTTTTGGAACAATTTAGTTGTAGAATCCCAGAGTTAGAAGAGACCCCAAGGGTCATCCAATTCAACCCCATTCTGCCATGCAGGAAGACACAATCCAAGCATTCCTGACAGATGGCCATCCAGTCTCTCTTTAAAAACTGCCAAAGAAGGAGACTCCAGCACTCTCTCCAAGGGAGCATTCTCCACTGCTGAACAACTCTTAGGACGTTATCACACGGGGGCAAATCTGCTGGTTAATCCACACAAATCCCAAACAAAAACTGGATTAGTGCCCCACGTTTTCACACGATGTTGCACAGAAACTGGACAGAAAGTGGACAGAAACTGGTGTTAACCGAGATCTCTTGAAATTCAGTTGTTTGGAGGAAATGCAAATGCGAAATTAAGGTAATTTCGCATTTACCGTAATATGAAAAGCAATTGTGCATTTGGGAGCATTTCCCTGCTTTTCCCATTGTTTCAGCGAGCATTCCTCTATCTGCGCATGTGCAAGAAGCTCATTTCTAGTACATTTACGGGCTTTTCTCACTTGTGTGTGAACATTAAATGCACTTACTGTAATTTCGCAATTAAGGTAATTACGTGTGAAAGCCATTTGCGGAATCAAGGTTTATTTTCGGTTTATTTTCGGAATGCCTCATTTCCACTTTATTATCGCTTTTTGGCCCACGTGTGATAACGTCCTTACTGTCAGGAAGATCTTCCTAATGTTTAGGTGGAATCTCTTTTCCTGTAGTTTGCATCCATTGCTCCATGTTGTATTCTCTGGAGCAGCAAAAATCAAGCTTGCTTCATCTGCAATATGATGTCCCTTCAAATATTTACACATGGTTCTCATGTCATCTCTTAACCTTCTCTTCTCCAGGCTAAACATACGCAGCTCCCTATGATCTCAGAGGGCTTAGTGGTTTCCAGACCTTTCACGATTTTGGTTGCCCTCCTCTGGAAAGGCTCCGTCTTGTCAATATCCTTCATGAACTATGAAGGAAGCCCTTTCTGGCCCCAAAGGCTTTAATAAAAAGCCATGTTTCAACTTGACACCAGAATGAAACCAATATTGGTGCAAATGAGACTTCGAAGGGGAGGGTTTTCCATAACTGAGAGCCAGGGTGGTAGAGAGGTTTGAGCGCTGGACTACAACTCTGGAGACCAGGATTCGAATCCCCACTCAGCCATGGAAACCCATTGGGGCAGGTCACATACTCTCAGCCCCAGAAATCCCGGTGATAGGTATATCTTAGGGTTTCCATAAGTCAGAAATGACTTGATGACATCCATAACTGGGTGGACACAGGAAAGAAGGCCATTTCCCCACAGCCCCTCACCATGTTTTGCTCCCACCCGTGGAAGAGAAAGGAGGGCCTTTCAAGTAGACCTTACTCCTTCAAGTATCAGAGACTTAAGCCATTTTGTGGTCACTGTCAGCACTTTGGAGCCAGTGTGGTGTAGTGGTTTGAGCATGGGACTATGATTCTGGAGACCAGGGTTCAATTCCCGGCTCAGCCATGTCAACCCACTGGGTGACCTTGGGTAAGTCACACTCTCTTAGCCTCAGAGGATGGCAAT